ACCATACAGAGTGTTCTGCTGTTTCTTGCAGTTCTGTAGTTTTTTCCAAGACATGAGAGTCTAGTCACTCCCACTTTCTGGAATTTTTGTTTCTTCGGCATGTACCTCCATTGAGTTGATAAGATTTTTGGAATGGTTTTTGTGGTTGTTGGGTCATGTTCTGCATCTTCCCAGCTTTTTATTGGTGAAGGCTGATGTGTATGGGAGGTAACTTTTACCTCTTATTTAATAAATAAATAAATAAAAGAAAAGAACATAAACCTTGTTCCTTGATGGTATTTGTCTTTGTTCTTTCAACCGTTTTAGTAGTTACTATATAATGTTTTCCTTTGGACATCTTTGAGCTCATTGCTTTCCAGGAGTAAGAATTCTGCACAGATGATATCTTCAGAGGACAGAAAACTACTTAGATTCCATTCTGTTTCATTAGAGATATCATCTTGCAAGATTCTCACTCTCCCATCGCCCCTCAGAGTTTGGAGTTTGGTGTTTGTTTGTTACTGATTATGTTATGTATGTACATGTACTGAGTTTATTATTTCTGCTTTTGAGGCCTGATTTTTCCAAATAGATGGTGATTGGCTTAATTTGAGGGAGGTCAGTCACAAACTAATTGTAACATTCAAGCCAGTTGCTGTAGGTGCATGTAAGAAGTGTATGGAGGCGAGGTTGGCTCACACCCTTAAGAGATCATAGTACTTTCAGGCAGTTTCACCTATATCAGACTTAGATGCTGAAACCCAGGAGTGAGAATCCTGCAAGATGATATATTCCAAGAGTCAGAGCCCTTTACTACTTATTAGATATGATAGTAAATATATACAGTAAGAGATTGTTGTATGAAATTGCTGCTCTGGTGTAAAAAATCAATATATCAGATTATTATTCCATGGCATTACAATAAGCATCTTGTTTTAGCTTCCCTGAATTAATTTAGATATATATGTCATTTTTGTTCTACTTTTGGTAGTTAAAAAAAAATCTGATTTCATTAGGATGACTTTTTTTTAAAAGGAACGGTTTGATTTCTTGATAGAGTTCAAAATCTATGAACAAATCCTTAATTTTAATTCAGACTTCGTTTATGATGTGACAAATGTATTAACAAAAACTAAAAAAAAAAAAAGCATTAAAATCATTTTAGAGAGAATTAACTTGATTAATGAAAACTTGATTAGTGAAATAATTTGTGACTTTACAAAGAGCTAATTAATTTTGACTAAAACATTTTTATATTAATGTTGTTTTTTAAACTGGTACAATTATATAACTAAAAGTAAGTGTGTGTGGGTGGGTGGGTGTGTGTGTGGTTTTTCCTGTGCCAGAGAGAATTATTCCTTTTCCCCTCAAATGTGGAATCCACACTCCAAAATACAGTGATATACAGCCCAGGATGGGCAATTTTCAGCCTCGGATTGATGACCAATTTTCGGGGGGAGGGATAGCTCAGTGGTTTGAGCATTGGCCTGCTAAACCCAGGGTTGTGAGTTCAATCCTTGAGGGGGCCACTTGGGAATCTGGGGCAAAATCAGTACTTGGTCCTGCTAGTGAAGGCAGGGGGCTGGACTCGATGACCTTTCAAGGTCCCTTCCAGTTCTAGGAGATGGGATATCTCCATTATTATATTATATTATATTATTATAAGATCAGATGCATCCTTGAGCCAATACGGCTAGAATTGGTTATTGTGTGATGCACCAGAAAGGGCAGATTTCCAATTTTTCATTAGAATAAAGAACTTCTTGTCCTACAAAAAATATAAGTATCAAGCCTAAAATATTGTGTCATAGTATGAAAAGACATTTTAAGGTCTGTGTGTATTTCAAGGATTACTTTTTAAAAATTTCCTTTCCTTCAAAACTTGTTTAGTTAGACTCAGGCTGCCTGGAGAGCTTGGTTTTACAGGAGAGGGTTATGAAAACTGGTTCCAATCAAAGTTTAACATTGTAAGACATTTCTAAATTACCTTTTCCATAAAATGGCAAATTATAGGGGTTTCCATTAATTAATATCACAAGCACTATATTCAATCTACAGAACTACCTTGAAAAGCTTTGAATCAATTGGAAATGCATGACAGTTCCCATGCAAAGGTGATGTCATTGCTGTACTCTAGTAAGAGAATTTACCTCCCAGCTGCCTCATTTCCTCTGCCACATTGCAAAGAGCAAATGAGACTTTTATTTGTGTCCTCAAGACTAGGTTTTTCCTTAAGTCTATCTTAAGATCTTATTGTAAGTAGTTTGCATAGAGTAGTATACGATAGTTTACTTGTCCCTTTGGCACCTTAAGCGCTTCAAGAGGTTTGGCAATCAGACCAGAGATTGATACCCACATCCATTGCCTTCTGTGTCTGGGTGAGACTTAGTACCTCAATGCACTTTTGCCACATCTTCACTCTCCGCTCCACAAGGTGGAGACACTTGAGATTTATTGGTTTGAATAACATTACAACAGTGACTATTAAGGCTCATGTTTTATAGTATAAACTGATCACAGGCAGGAGTCGGAAAGAAATTACCCATGTATGGGATAATATTGTGCAAATAAGTGAATGTTGAGTATTTACACCTACCTCTGAACCATCCTGCACTGGCTTCTGTCAAACAAGATGTCTGTCCTTTGTATTGTTAATTAATGTAGCTCTCTGGTATAAGAATCTATTCTGTACCTTTTCCCCCATAAAAACAATATATTATTTCTAGGGTTGTCGATTAATCGCAGTTAACTCACGCGATTAACTCAAAAAATTAATCCTGATTAATTGTAGTTTTAATCGTACTGTTAAATAATAGGATACCAATTGAAAATTATTAATATTTGTGGATGTTTTTCTACAATTTCAAATATATTGGTTTCAATTACAACACAGAATACAAAGTGTACAGTGCTCACTTTATATTATTTTTGATTACAAATATTTGCACTGTAAAAATGGTAAAAGAAATAGTATTTTTCAGTTCAACTCATACAAATACTGTAGTTCAATCTCTTTATTGTGAAAGTGCAACTTACAAATGTAGATTTTTTTTTTGTTACATAACTGCACTCAAAAACAAAACAATGTAAAACTTTAGAGCCTACAAGTCCACTCAGTCCTACTTGTTCAGCCAGTCACTCAGAGAAACAAGTTTTGTAGTAGGCATTGCAAGGTATTTACCTGCCAGATATGCTAACATTCGTATGCCCCTTCATGCTTCGGCCATCATTCCAGAGGACATGCTTCCATCCTGACGATGCTCATGAAGAAAATTAATGCATTTAATTAAATTTGTGACTCAACTCTGTGGGGGAGAATTATGACTCCTGTTCTGTTTTACCCACATTCTGCCATATAGTTCATGTTTTAGCAGTCTTGGATGATGACCCAGAACCTGTTCATTTTAAGAACATTTTCACTGCAGATTTGAGAAAATGCGACGAAGGTACCAATGTGAGATTTCTAAAGATAGCTATTGCACTCGACCATAGGTTTAAAAAGCTGTAGTGCCTTCCAAAATCTGAGAGGGATGAGATGTGGAGCATGCTTTCGGAAGTTTTAAAAGAGCAACACTCCATTGTGGAAACTATAGAACCTGAACCACCAAAAAAGAAAATCAGTCTTCTGCTGGTGGCATCTGACTCAGATTATTAAAATGAACATGCATTGATCTGTACTGCTTTGGATCATTATTGAATAGAACTCGTCATCCGCATGGATGCATGTCCTCTGGAATGGTGTTTGAAGCATGAAGGGACATATGAATCTTTAGTGCATCTGGCATGTAAATATCTTGTGACGCCAACTACAACAGTGCCATGCGAACGGCTGTTCTCACTTTCAGGTAACATTGTAAACTAGAAGTGGGCAGCGTTATCTCCCGCAAATGTAAACAAACTTGTTTGAGTGATTGGCTGAACAAAGAAGTAGGACTGAGTGAACTTGCAGGCTCTAAAGTTTTTTTACATTGTTTTATTTTTGAATGCAGTTTGTTTTTTGTACATAATTATATATTTGTACATTCAACTTTCATGATAAAGAGATTGCACTACAGTACTTAGGTTAATTGAAATATACTATTTATTTTGTTTTTTTACAGTGAAAATATTTATAATGGAAAGTGAGCACTGTATATTCTGTATTCTGTGTTGTAATTGAAATCAATATATTTGAAAATGTAGAAAACATCCAAAAATATTTAAATAAATGGTATTCTATTAACAACAGCGCGATTAATTGTAATTAATTTTTTTAATCACTTGACAGCCCTAATTATTTCTTCTCTTGCTAATTTTTTAGTTTGTTGCATTAAAAGTTATTTTATAGCTACTGCTGCTAACATAATGGTAGCAGTTATACATAACTAAACACTTTGTAGTAAGACATCACAAAATAAAGACGTTTCATTATCTTCCAAATTGTTTTTGGAGTTTTGTTCGAACAAATTCCTCAAGAAACAGTACACCTTTTAAGAACTGTTAAATTGCAGTTTTTTCCAACTTCTCAGCAGCTCTTTTTTTAGCACACCTGGTAGAAGAGTTGACATGGCCATCCTATCCCATATGAAGATTTTTGCTATCTTTTCTCTAATTTGTAGCTCTAAACTAATTATTTTATCAAATAAATAACATTCCATTTACCACATTCCCAAGATACTCTCTCACTTTTTTGAGCCCTATTCATTGTCTTTAACCCCAATCCTTGCACAGCACAGTTGGAGACAAACACTTGTGTTTCAAGGTACGAATTATACTATTTAAAATAAAAGACGACCGAGTCCTCTTTCAGCAGTCTGACTAGCAATGGCACATTCCAGTATTCAGCTTGAGTTAGCTGTAGCCTGTCTCATGGAGGATATTAATTTATGGCTGCCTCCTAGCCATGAAATACAAACTATTTATGGTTTCCTTTATGATAAGATACTAAAATCACATCTGTGGAATTTTGGCTGCTGGCATGGGAAGTTTTCGCTAAATGGTATTAAATCATTCTGAAGCATATATTTGCTGTTTGTTTTCAGAGGAATTCCGGGGAAGAAATGTGGAACAATCATACTGACAGCAGAGGAGCTGAACTGTTGCAGGGTAAGTGAATGTTTGCACTGCTTCTTAAACAATTTGTTTTTATGGTACTAATGTAATCTGATATTGGACCAGTTTTTTAAAGATCGTTTACAAATGGGGTAAAAGAAATAGGAACACAATTACCTTTGTATGAAATATTTTATTTATTGCTTCACTTAATTATTCTTTTCAGTTACTATTAACCTGAATAGTAGAGAAGTGAAGAACAATTTGGAGCACAGAGACATTCATATTAAACCTACTCTTATTGTTCCCCAAATTAATCAATATGAATCTCTTCTTAGTTTCTTAATCCCCAAATGCTAGTAAATTGTTTTAACTATGTGAGTTATGGAGTTATATGCCCATTATGAGATTTTTTGAGAGAGAGAAGTGAGTAGCAAGAACAGCAGCAATCAAAAGAAATCTTTGTAGTTTAAGCTTTGTAATTCAAAGTTTGTCTATTTTGTACTTTGTGTGGCTAAAACAATTTAAAAAAAAAGTTTATTGGAATAAATAATATCTGGTATGAAAAGGAGTAGCCCCAAAAAAGAGGCTAAATTTAAAAACGTTTAAAAAGATTGTCCCAGGCCAGTGATACTCGTGAGTGTCTAAATGTGGAAAAGCTGTAGGGACCAGGGAAGAAAGGGGAGAGTGAGGAGAGATTATATGGATAACAAGGAATGATTGATTCCTGAGGGGAGTTTTGAGGAGATTACTAAATAGAAGGATGGTGTTTATTGGAAAGAAAGAGAGATATTTTTCCAAGTGTAAGTGGTAACATAAGAGACAGTACAAAGTCAAGAAAGCAAAAACTAAGTGTAGGGATCAATAAAGCAAGGCACACCTCTACCCCGATATATAACACGAATTCGGATATAACACGGTAAAGCAGTGCTCCGGGGGGGAGGCTGTGCACTCTGGCGGATCAAAGCAAGTTTGATATAACGTAGTTTCACCTATAACACGGTAAGATTTTTTGGCTAACGAGGACAGCATTATATCGAGGTAGAGGTGTATTTGGTAAAAAGCATAAGGAGCAAATAAGGAAGCAAGTAAGCAAATAGAATGAGATTAAATCAAAGACATAAACAGGATGAAGTATGTAGAGGCTTGAAGGGATTTGTTAAGGGCTTTAATTTTTAGTAATTGGTAGTTTCATGCTGATAGTTTTATTTAACTGTTTTGACTTTTTTTACTGGATAACAGTTTTTCCCATTTTTTTTCTCAATTTTTGCAGTAGTAACGTGTTTGTATCTTTACTGATGTATCCAACATACTATACCCTGACAACTTACCATAATGCTTTATGTTCTATTTTCTGTTGTTTATTTAAAATATTTTATTAAGAACCCTAAATCCTGTGCCTTATTTCTAGTTTACTAAGGCTTGTATGTCCAATTGCAGAGCAGAAACTGTTTTAAATTGCATATTGCCCTAAAATGTAAATAATTATACAGATTATCCATTGCCTTTGGCAGCCAAACAGATTCCAAATATAGTCACCTTCAGGGTACAATGTAATGCCTAATTCTTCTTCGAGTGCTTGTTTATGTCCATTCCAATCAGGTGTGTGTGCACACAAGTGCAAAGTGGCCAGAAGATTTTTCCCATAGCAGCATCCATTGGATCGGTCTGGGCGCCCCCTGGAGTCGTGCCTTTATGGCGCTCAATATAGAGCCCTGCTGAGCCGCCACCCCATCAGTTCCTTCTTACCGCCAGTGACGGTTGGCTGGAACTTCCCATAGTCCTTGTTAGCAAGCACATTCTATAGTTCTTTAGTAACTAGTAATTAGTAATTTTTTCCATAGCAGCATCCGTCGGGTCGGTCTGGGCACCCCCTGGAGTCGTGCCTTCATGGCGCTCTATATAAAGACCTGCCGACCCACCATCCCTTTAGTTCCTTCTTACTGCCAGTGACGGTTGGCTGGAATTTCCCGTAGTCCATGCTTAGCAAGCACATTGTACAGTTCTTTGTATATAGTTTACCTTAGTTTTGTTAGTAATTAGTAATTAGAGTTCTTGGAGGTTCCCTCCCCCCCCCCATTTCGACTTCCTGGAGCCGTGGTATGCCGCGATCCCTGGGGTTTAAAATCTGTGTGGCCTGCGTGAAGTGCAATCCACGCTCTTCATGCTTACGTTGTCTAGGGGAGGGTCACCAAAAGGATCACCATAAGATCTGCCACGAGTTCCGCCCTAGAACTCTTAAAGAAAGGGAACAGCGGCTTAAAGTGATCCTCATGGAGGAAGCTCTGTGCCCCTATTTGGACCCGGGCTGAGGGGACCCGGCCCCTAACACATCCTCCTTGACGCAGAGTGCCCCAGCACCATCCTCAAGCTTGACGCTGAGAAAAGATTTCGGCCCAGGATGCTCGGCACAGGCACGGCACCTCCCGAGGCCCGGCAGAGAGCAGGCACCGATTCCACTCGACGGTGCCTCAGAAGAAAAAGAAGCTGGACAGTCGGTCCTTTTGAAGGTGCGGTCGAGGATGGCGCACCAGATCAGAGACTGGATCTACCCCACCTTACCTTTTCCTCCCAACTGTCCCCTTTCTGCCATGAATGGTCTCGTATCACTTTGGACCGCTGGATGCTCCGCATGGTAGAGCTCACGAGCAGCTCCAGGAGGTGAAGTTGGTCCTATCACTAGGGGCAGTGGAGGAGGTTCCTCAAGGACACAGGGGCGAGGGCTTTTATTCCCGGTATTCCTAATACCTAAAGCCAAAGGCGGCCTCAGGCCTATCCTGGACCTGTGAGAATGTGACAAGTTCATGAAGAAACTCTGGTTCTGCATGGTTTTCTGGGCCTCCATCATCACCTCGGTAGATCCAGCAGACTGGTATGCTGCCCTCGACTTGAAGGACGCATATTTTCATATCGCAATCTCTCAGCCCCACAGGAAGTACCTCAGATTTGTGGTCAACAGTACCCACTACCAATTTACCGTCCTCCCGTTCGGCCTGTCAGCAGCCGTCGTCGCCGCGTTTATTGCAAAGGCACCAGGTGCAGGTTCCTTAACAACTGGCTGATCAAAGGCCGCTCCAGGATCCAAGTGAAAGCTCAGATCAGATTGATCAGAGCCACCTTCAACAGCCTGGGTCTACTTCTAAACAAAGCAAAATTGACTCTGTCTCCCGTCTAGAGGATAGAGTTCATAGGGGCAGAACTGGACTCGACCCAAGCTGGGGCATACCTGCCGGAGGCAAGGTTTCAGGCCCTGGACGATATAATTCGAGGCCTCAGTTCCCCACCACTACAGCAAGGAACTGCCTGAAACTTCTTGGACACATGGCTGTCTGTACTTATGTGGTGCAGCATGCCAGACTCGCGGTTCGACCGCTTCAGTTGTGGCTCGCATCAGTGTATCGCCCAGCCCGGGACAGCTTGGACAGGATTGTGACCCTGCCTCGCTTGGTCCTCAACTCCCTCCTACGGTGGATCGACGCTCAGGAAGTGTGCTCAAGGGTTCCCTTTACCACCCCACAGCTGTCTCTGTCACTGGTGACGGATACGTCAGGCTTCGGCTGGGGAGCTCATCTGGGAGACTGCAAGACTCCAGGCCTCTGGCCTTAAGCAGATCTGGGTCTCCACATCAATGTCAGAGAGGTGAGAGCGATGTGCCTAGCATGTCAGACCTTCTGTCCTTACCTAACCAGACAATGTGTATCAATCATGACTGACAATACAACAGCAATGTTCTATATCAGCAAGCGGGGATACACACTCCCCTCCCCTGTGCCAGGAAGCCCTCATGCTTTGGGACTTCTGTGTAGAACATTCAATACACCTGCAGGCATCATACTTCCCCGGGATACAGAACATGCTGGCAGACCACCTCAGCAGGTTGTTTCACAGCCACAAGTGGTCCCTTCGCCCGGACGTCACAATTTCAATCTTCCAGAGGTGAGGTTTTCCCCACGTAGGCCTCTTTGCCACGCGACGCAACAGGAAGTGCCAGCTTTTCTGCTCCTTCCAGAATCACAGCCCAGGCTCCAGCACGGATTCGTTCCTCGTCCATTGGGGAGGTTCTCTCTTATACGTCTTTCCACCCATACCACTCGTTCACAAGGTGCTTCTCAAGATCTGCAGAGATCGAGCTCAGGTCGTCATACTGATAGCAGTACCCTGGCCCCATCAGCACTGGTACACATCTATCCTAGACATTCTGTGGGAGTCCCAATTACCTTGCCACTCTTCCCGGACCTTCTCGCACAAGTTCATGGACGTCTCCAATACCTGAACCTCCAGTTTCTTCTTCTAAAGGCGTGGAAGCTCCATGGTTAAATCCATTGGAGCTTTCCTGTTCAGACCAGGTTAGACAGGTCCTCCTTAGCAGAAGGAAACCCTTTACGGGAGCCACATACCTTGCCAAGTGGAAGAGATTTTTCAATCTGGTTGGAGCCTATGCTAGCTTCAGTGCCACTCATTGTGGACTACTTCCTCCATCAGAAGCAGGAGGGACTCTTGTTGCCTTTGATAAAGGTGCAATTAGCCACCGTGTCGGCCTTCCACCTGGACGCGCAGGGCCGCTCTGTGTTTGCTAGCACCGTGGTCAGCCGATTCCTAAAAGGGCTCGACAGGCTATACCCTAATGTCCGTCAGCCTGTCCCTGCCTGGGACCTCAACTTGGTCCTTTCTAGGCTCATGGGGGTCCACCTTTGAACCGTGCTCCCTGCTCTACCTCTCTTACAAGGTGGCGTTCATGGTAGCAATAACCTCAGCCAGAAGAATGTCTGAGCTCAGGGACCTAACATCAGACACTCCCTACACCGTGTTCTATAAGGACAAGGTTCAGCTCAGGTCTCATTCTGCTTTCCTCCCGAAGGTTGTGTCGCAGTTTCACATCAACCAGGACATCTTTCTCCTAGTATTCTACCCTAAGCCACATTCCAGCGGCAGGGAGCAGAGACTCCCCTCTCTGGATGTCCACAGGGCACTGGCCTTTTACATCGAGAGAATGAAACCGTTCAGAAAATCGATCCAGTTATTTGTGGGAGTGGCGGACAGGATTAAAGGTCAAC